TGTTCAATGCCTTTTTAACTCAAACTATATTTTATCTTTAACTGATATTTGTTACTGTTAGAGTCTATCAAGTCTTGGTGGCTATAGACAAATATTCTCCCATGTGATATGCTAGTGGCCATCACTCACAGCTCATCTAGTCACCTTTTGGTAGATTTCTTGGCCCCTTCCAGCCAGCTCATTGGAGGTCTTCTTCTCTTTCTTCCTTCTTCAAATTTTCCCAGAATCAACATTCTTCTAAGTAGATGAGATTTGTGTAGTTATTCTGTGGAGCACAAATCTCTTAAATCTTTTAATTGCCTTTAAATAAAATGAATAAATAAACATTTTTATAATGCATTTGCTTTCATGGTGTGTCCGAAGTAGGTCAGTCTTTGTTTGCCCATTTGAGATTCTAAGAATCTACCAATTTAAGATTGAAATACTTGTCCTTTAATCTGTCTACGGTATTCTTGAGTAATTTTCTCCAGGTCCACATTTCAAAAGCATCAATTCTATTTCTTTCTACTTTTATGAGAGTCCAGCTCTCACATCCATAAGTGACCACAGAAATACCATTCTTTGTCTTAAGAGAAATGCCTTTATTTTTCCTTATAATACCCCTAAGCAACTTCCCATCTTATTAATCCTGGTTCCTAGGAATAACTGACTTTAATAATGACTGGATTTAATATATAGTTTGAACAGCACTACTTCTGAGTATGAACAGTCAGTTTGTGCACACATAATTGTCAAACAAATAGTGGCTGAGGAGAAGTGTCACCTAGAGGATGCTAGGAAACAGAGAAATGGGGCAATCAGCTGAAGAATACCCCTGAAATCCTATATAAATATATATTAAATATAAGAAAATTGAAGTATCTACATATAAACACAATAAGCTGTATATTAGAAGGAAGAATCATATATCGCCGCAACTCTTTTTATTATTATAGCGGTTAAGGAAGCTTTCGGGCAAGCCCTTCTTCAGCTAATTTAATTGTACAAACAAAGAGAGATTATATATCGTTTTTAAAATAAATCAAAATAAACGAAAAGAAATTTACCACGCCCCTATCGCCCTCGTTTCAATAGCACCGCGTGGCCACGTTATGTCTGATCCTAACTTCAAATGTAATATGGTACAAAAATATCTTAAAAGAAAGTTACCTAATTGAATAAATATAAAGAATCAACTATAAACAGTTCAAAAAAAAAATTTTTAGGATAGAAGGGGGACGTACTGTGATGGCAACTGTATACTTTTGTTTAATGGTTTAGGGTGCTTCATGGTTTCTATTGCTTCAAGAATGAGTCTTTGGGTTTTAGTTTTGGCATTTGTATGGAGGATTCTGGTATTATTGAAGTCTGGAGTGTGTCCGGTTTCTCTGACGTGGTCAACAATTAAGGAGTTTGGGTTTAGTTTGGAGATGTTTCTTTGGTGTTCTTTGATTCTGATTGAAAGATCTCTTGATGTCTCACCGATGTAGTCTTTTCGTTTATTTTGATTTATTTTAAAAACGATATATAATCTCTCTTTGTTTGTACAATTAAATTAGCTGAAGAAGGGCTTGCCCGAAAGCTTCCTTAACCGCTATAATAATAAAAAGAGTTGCGGCGATATATGATTCTTCCTTCTAATTTGTCGAAATCCGCAAACCGTTTACCATGAAAGCTGTATATTATAGTATATATATATGAAAAATAATTTTTAAAAAATTTAAAAAAGCACATGTGCTTTTGGTCAGGATATGCCTTCATTATTTTTATTATGGTATATGTACCTTCATGGAATAAGTGTTGTTGTCATTCCAAGGAACAATGAAGGATGCTATAGTCTTTTTCTTCTTTCTTATCTCCACTCAATCATATTAGGGTGTCAAGCTTGTAAAGCTTGAGACTTTTGATGGTGTCTGTCGGGGATGAGTAGGGCACATCAATAGGATGCTATAGTGATGTACAACAAATATAGTAATTCATTATTTCCTGTATAAAAGAATATATATTTAAAAGAAAAACTTATTCATCCCCCTCAAATACTTTTTATAATTATATTATTTAAAATCAGCTATATTGATGGAAATTTTTCTTGGAGGAAATTGATCTAAAAAAGCATGATTGTGAAGATTCCATTGGATCTCATGGAATAAAGTCTGCCCTAGGCTGACGAGGGCCATTAGCCCGAAACCATGGTCTCTAGGTGGACACTTCTCAGTTTGCCAAAGCGGGTATTGTGGCTTTGTCATCGATCCGAGGCTGCTAGTTTGCGGCGATGGTCAATAGATGGCATCTAGTTTTGAAGTTTAATTTGACTGGAGAGGAGCCCTATGCTCTTTTAGAGCTATATTGGTCTATAATGACAGCTATAGTTACAGCTGTTGTGATTTACAATATGTACAGTGACTGCTGTAGCAATGTATAATGACAGCTGAAGTGATGTACAACAAGAGCTATAGCAACAATGTTGCAACGATGAAAGCTGTGGTGTTGTCAGGCCAAGATGGAGAGGAACAAGGAGAAGCCCCTACTGAGGCAGAAGTCGGAGCTGACCACCAACTCCCTCCCGCACCTGGATGGCAAGAGTTAACTCGCTCCCTCCCCGTAGTGGCTGTTGTTGTTTGTTGACCCACATATTTGTTTAAGAGATTTTACTTGTTTTCCTCCCTCACTCTATTGCTACTTTTATTTATTGTTCTCTCAACACACACAACTCAGGAATGTGAAAGTTGTATGTTCGTGGTGTACCATGACATATGTTCCTAGAGTCCTGATTTCCATTGGTCAGCCTGCCTGTGCCATAGCTTCCAATGGAGTCTTCTTTTTAAAGGAGTGTTTATTGAGACAAGGGATTCTCTGCTACTTGTGTTTTTTACCCCAGATTGATATATGCTCTTTTTGTTTTTCTAACCTAGAGATTGACAAGAGTTTGTTAATAGATGCCATATTTTTATGGACTTTTTAAAAAATTTTCATTTGTTTTGTGAAAGTTTGTTTTCAAACAGGTTTTTTAAGAATATATATCGATTTGTATTGAGGTTTATTGAAAAGTGTTTGTTAAGAAAATATTACAACTGAAGGATTCACTGTGCACTTAATGGTATAGTTGCTTTCAATATTTTCTAAATTTAATATATATTTCTCTCTCACATTTTAATTATTTTATCAACTGAATTATTTTTACATTCATAGAAAAACTCACAGAGTAACTGAAGCTTATAAAAAATATATATATTTTTTAAATTTCAATATTTTGAGTACTTTAGTTCAAAATTATCATGACACCATTGTTTTTTTTTTGTAGAAGTTTTCCCAAAAATACAAATATTTGGGAATGTTCTAAATTTTGACCCTTACTTTTGTGATAATAAAAATTGCTGTAAACATATGTAAACACTGAATTACATAATACTTCTATGTAAATAACCTCTCCTGTAGAATTTTGGTTTGTAGTTGAGGTTATATCAACAGAGCTAAAGTTCACATTCCATTACTAAATATGTGTGCCAGTAATCCATCCTCAGCTAGAGAAGGCATATTGTCAACAATTGTTCTAATGCACGCTCTATGGGAAATATTGGTTTGGAATCAGCATTTTCTAGTCCTTTTTATAAAGGACCAAATTTCCTTTGATACTAACTCTGACATATATATCCCGAGATTATAGGTCCAGAATGCTTTTTTAATAAAAATATTATGTTTCAACCTACTGGGTCCAAGTATTATTTTTTAAACTTCCGACTGTGGTGCTTATGTAAATGCTTATTATTTTATTATTTTTTTTTTTAGAAGTTTTTTTTTTGTTTGTTTTGAATTTTGCATGATTTTTTTTAGACATTTTTTTACTAGCGATTATATATGCTTATATTTTGTGTGTTTTTTTAGAAAAGTATTGTTGCATATTTATATTTAGTTTATTAGAAACTTTTATTCTTTGTGTTATTTTTGCTTTTTTTTCTTAAAAAATGGTCTTTTACTTATTTTGTTTGCTCAAATGTCTTTTTTTTCCTTGCCATATATTTTTTTTTCGAGCAAAATATATATATATATAAAAAAAAGAATCTCCAGTCTTCCAGCACTTATCATAATTTTAAAAAATATATTAAATTTGTTTGTTTTTAAAATTTAATTTGCATAATATTCTATAGAATTTATTTTGATGTTTTTTTTTTTCAAAAAGCTTGGAGTATTCTAACAAAAAGAATTATGTAAATATATTTATTTATGTAAATATGTACATATGTATAGCTATATTCATCAGAGGTTAGCAATAAAACAGTTTTAAAACTGTTGTAAGAATGTTTACTTCCCCCTTTATACCCCTTAATTATAGTTTTTTTTATCATTATCATACAAGGGCTTGGAAATTTTTCTACACAAGGATTGGAGATTCTATCTTCATACTGTTGAATGTGATGGGGGAGTCTGGGAACATTCAGTACAGACATTATCAACAAACAACTCTTCAGCACAACTTCTCCATTTACAAATAAAATAAAATTCCTATTGTCCTTGTTAGTGTACATCAAATTTAGTTTCACTTTTGGTGACTATATGAGCAAATATTCTCCCATTTTGGATCCAGGAGGAGCTCTGAACCTCAGAAATAAACAGCATCAAACAACAATAACAAGATTTAAAACAGTCTATCTTAAGCCATTGAAGATGGAAAATAATAACAAAATCTACTCCACTTGCCCAAAATGTAGCTTGACACCTGCAGCTCCAGAACACATTTTGCTTGCATTAGATGTACTAAACATGACCTTTAGGAGAGGCCTCTGCTTATCATAAAACAACTTGAGGAACATGGACTCGTGAAAATCACGTAATCTAAGGGCAATAAAAAAACAACAAAAACATATTCTCCCATTTGATCTGTTGATGATCATCACTCGTAGCTCATCTAGTGACCTTCTGGAAACTTCCTTGACCACTTCCAGTCAGCTCATTGGAGGTCTTCCTCTCTTTTATTCCTTCAAAATTTCCCAACATATCTTCTAATCTATTTTCTTTCATTATATGTCTGAAGTAGGTCAGTGGAAGGCTAGTTAAACCGTTTGGTTTACGACCACTACGACCCGGGTTCGATCCCCGCATTGGACATTTTTTCTGTTTAAAAAAAAAAAAAAAAAAATGCTCCAATGGCCCCCCGATTCTTGCGAAAGTCCAACCCCACCAGCGAGTGCAAGTAACCAAACGGGGCTCTGGCACATTTGTAAGTGCAAAGTCGAACTGCTTTCACATGTGTAGACATGTGGTGCGCTTACAGTAAAAAGCAGTCGCTAACTACCCACCATGATTATCATGGTCTGTACCACGTGTACTAGGGATAAGCAAAAAAAAAAAAACATATTTGTGATTCTAGTGATCTACCTGGCATAATACATTTGAATATTCATCATTTTTCTGTCCATGGCACTCTTTGAGTAGCCTTCTCCATGTACAAATTTCAAAGAGTCCTCCAATGTGCACACTGATTTCTGCTATATCAAGGTCGGCTAATCTCATATGTTCATTGTAGAGGTTGAAGAGATAGGAAGGCCTAACTTATCAGTGGTCAACCGTCATGAATATAAGCTCTGAAGAGAGTAGAAAAAAAATATAAATACTTGTTTTAAGAATTGCTTTTCTGCAAACATTTCACAAAAGGTCATTTAAATATAAAAAATAAACACAAGGAATTAAATATTGATAAGAAATGGAAGTATTTAATGTGCTTTTTTTATGCTAATTATGTTTTATTTAATGGAACACTAATTCTCCAAGCTGGTTTCACTCTATTTCAACTATATTGTTGGGGGTTTGATGATGACCCCCCTACCAGGATGATAAGTCATGAAGTTGAGACATCAGACTAGGTTTCAAAAGTGTTTTGGAATTGATAATATGTTTTTTTAAATTATTATTATTATTACTATTCCAAGTACACATGGTACAGACCATGAAAATCATGGTGGGTAAAAGTTGGCGACTGTTTTACTCTAAGTGCACCACATGTCTACACAAATGTGCCAGAGCCCTGTTTGGTTACTTGCACTTGCTGGTGGGGTTGGACATTTGCAAGAATCGGGGGCCATTGGAGAATTTTTTTTTTCAATTAGAAAAAAGTGCCCGTTGCGGGATTCGATCCCGGGTCATAACGGTCAGAAACCAACGGTTTAGACCACCCTTCCACCAAACCCCATTGATAACATGTACAATTTGGATGAGAGATAAAATTATAAAGATAACAAGGTCAAATAATAAACATTTTTTTAAATTTTCTGTTGATCTGATGTTAAATTATATTTGGTATTTTGATGGGATATGTAAAACAGATTATTTATAAGCAGTGAATTAAACATGGTATGATATATATACCCTAATTATTTTACACAGTAAACCCTGTCTTAGGAGTTAATTTTTAGTGGGAATAATTTGTTTTTCCATTAATTTAGTTAAGTATTCTGACCTTGTATCTAATATATTCCCATCTAAATTGTTCAAGCTCCCTAAGCCTAAATATGTTTAATCTATATATATAAAAATGAATGTCTGTCTGTCTGTGTGTGTGTACTCTATAGATTCAAAAACCATACATCCAATCGCCGTGAAATTTTGGGATATTATTAGGTATATCCCCGGAAAGGTTTTCGAAAAATAATTTCTTGAATATCCTTAGTTATTTGCAGATTTGTAGCTTTAACTCGCAAGCAGCGCCACCTTGCGACGGAGATAGGCTTAGGTCTGCCCCACCCCCTGTTGAGAGAATGTAATCGTCCGGCCGGATGGACAGTCCAAGTACCCACTGACCAATCAGAAGGGTCAAGAGGTCTTGGCACGCGGGAGCAGAGTTGGTAACACAGCTGTGCCAAGTAGACAAGAAAAAAGCCTCGCGGGGGCTTGCCCAAGATGACCTCCGGGAACTTTGTCCATCTTCCATAAACGACCATGATTTTATTCAACTTATCGAGTATTTTTCAAGGGACCGGGAAAAAATGTTCACTAGATAAAACGATGATTTTGTAATGTAGAAAATTAGGAAAGACAAAATTCAGGATGACACGGCACACAGGGACCGGGAAAAAATGATCACTTTATCGAGAGATTCAAATTCACGAGTTTCAAATTATCAAAATTTATCTTTTTTTTTTTTATAAGTTTATAGAGAATTGTTTTAACAAATGTTCGTTAGACAAACCTTTACTCGGGTAAAACCCGGGCAAAGCCGGGTACATCCGCTAGTAACCAATATTAAGAGCATCATTGAATGTGAATAAGAAAAATAGTTTTAGGTTCATTGCAACCAATTTTATTTACCCTGTCTTGTGAGTGAAATTTAACTACATAAAGGCTAAATTGGAACAAACTTTGGCAGCTCGTAAAATAAATAAAATTCTATATGCTTATTTATGGTAAATTTAAACCAACAACCCCACATTGTATAATACTTATTACAAGATTTTCATGTTGTATAATAAACATTTCTGTAAATAATTATACACATGATTGACATGTGTCATTACATCATCATAGGTAATGTACTTTGTACAAACTGAAGATTAATAAATAAAACTGTAATAGATTAAGAGTAGAACTAAAGCAAGAGATTGAGATAGAAGTCCAACAACGAGGCCTAAATATAGGAAACTGTCAGGGCGTTGCCAGGTCCTATCCACACCCTTGTTGCATCTGCTGAACCCCAATACTTCCTTTCGCAAAGATATATAAGCCTCCAACAGGGTCAGAAATATAGTCATTTCACCATCAGCGGAAGTCCTCATTGGTTGTGTCCAAGGTCCACCTCATCGACCATGTAGAACAGTAAGAAATCCTCTATCTCCATTCTTTCGCTCCTAGCTCGACTTTTATCTGTTCACGGGACTTTCCTAGTTCAACTGTGTCTCTTGGTTTTTTGTGTATGTACATCCCAAGCTTTCCACTAGACCACGACTGCCTGTACTCTATGAGAACTGTTAAAGGTCTTCCAAGGTGCAGAGAGGTACTGGAAAACTCCACGCCCTGACTGTCCCTCTCGGTTACTACAGGTTTGCCCCTCTAGGTTACCACACAACAGCGAGAGACCCTCAGGATATCACATATATGTCGCAAACCCGGGTAAGCCAATAAGTGAGTCGGAAGCAGTCAGGGTTGAGTGACAAGGCGTGCAGAGTGGGAAGTCTGCACGGGACAGTAAGGACAAAGTTTGGGATCAAAAGACGCTCTCCTAGTACATCTCACATGGCACCAGGACCAGGGGAAAGTTGAGGATTAACTGAGGAAAGCTTGGCGTCCTGCATGAAGCCGTGAGTGCAGAGAGGAGCCAAAACGGCGGCCACGAGGGCCACAGTTGAAGCTCGAAGGAGAGGTAGGTAATGGGAGAATATGGGAAAGAAAAGCTGGCTGTGAGAGGTTAAAAAGAGATGGAGGCTCAAGAGCTGCGCTGCTGTCGGTGATTGAGCTCGACCAGATAAAAAATAAAATTAAAAGAAAAATGAGTGGGCGCATCATGCTGATGATGGTGATGGGTCGAGCATGAGAAAAAAAAATCCCGCTGGTTACCCAAGCTCTCCGTGTGGAGTTAACATGGGGAGGAAGAGTGTACCAGGTCAATGAATCATAAAAAAAAAAAAAATGTTGACGAGCAGGAATCTCATGAACCGTTGAAGAGGTTAGAGGATGGAGATAGATTGTGAAAACAGGGTTCGACTGTTGCCATTGATTGATTGAACCCGGGTTTGAGGAAAAAAGAATGAAATGAAGAATGCTGGGGCGGTGACCCGGGTGTAAGATAAAAAAAAATAAAAATAAGCCGTGGGTTTTCCTGAACACACCATCAGGATGGGATGGCGAGGAAGGAGTAGTCCACTGGGGCGAATCAATAACAACAAAAAAAAAGTTTGCAAACAGGAACTCTGCGATGGACGAGGGGTGGTTAGAACGAAGGCCTAAGGAAAAGGATCAAGAGACGAGAGAAGTATGGAAGGCAGAGTTGGAAGGATCAAGATATGAGAAGGGACAGTTGGTAGAAAGGCGTCACTGTTAAAACAAATGATGTTTATATAGGTTGGCTAATGGTTTTAGCTGTTTAGGGATGGAAGGAAAAGAAGTATCATAATGTAAAAGAAATATCCAAAAATATATGGATTGATTCTATAATATAAAATGGCACACACCAAGAAGGATCGTAAAAATATAAATGAATAATAAGATATAAAAAATATAGTAAGTATTTAGGTTATTGTGTTCCCCACGTGATGCAATAAACGCAAATTAGACGATGTTTGGAAAAGTCATAAGTGGTAAATAAATTGAAATGCCATTATGGTTTGTTTTTTATTTTTTCATAATTATAATTTCAGAGACCTCTCACATGATGAGAGAGAGAGAGAGAGAAAAAGGAAAACTAACTTATCAAAAGTAGTAAAATGTTACAAGTAAACTTATAATGGATATCTGAAGGTTTAGAGTGACGCAGTGGTAAAAAGAGGGGAAGTCTGAGTTGATTTTTGCAATGGCGTTCGGCAATGCAATACGTGCCTGTATAAGTGAGGTATTGTTTTCATTGACCGAACTTCCAAGACTTTCCATAATCAACATTAGATCAGACAAGGGAGGTAGGTGAGTTGAAAGTGGAGAAATGGGAAAGATGGAGTCAAGAGTTGCTCTGCTGCCAATGATGTTTGAGCTCGGATGAAAATGAAAAAAAAAAAGAGTAATAAAATGGTAAAAATGATGGTTGTAATGATGATCCGAGCGTTGAGAAAAAAAAAAAAAAACTCGAACTGGTCGCCTGAGCTCACTGTTGGGAAATGTACAGCGAGGAAGGTTGAGCCAGTTGGTTGAATCAAAATAAAAATAAAAGTTTGCTTGGCGAGCAGGAGACTCTTTACCGCGGGAAATATGGAAGGTAAGGAAGGTAAAGGGTACTGTTGCCATTGATGATTGAACAACCCGACATTGTTGAATGTAATGAATGATGTTGTCGGGTGATGGATAAAAAAAAAAGAATCTTTGGATTTCCTGAACTCGTTATCGGTAATTGTATACCGAGGAAGGATGGTCCAATAGATGAATTAATAAAAAAATAAATAAAATGGGTGGCAACAGGAACCCTATGGGAG